CTTTTGCAGTCTTAATGCACTTGCACCGTAAACACGTAGGCGGAAATCAAGTGTGCAATGTGTTGAAAACGCTTATCACGACAAATATTAGTATTCAAGTTTTAAATATCAAACTAAATTAAATTGGTTATGAACTGTTGGTCTGATAATACATTTGTATATTACTTCTCATTATCGATGGAGTTCACTGATGTCGATATACTTGCTAATATTGATGACTATCTCTAGATTTAATGATATACATTTCATGATAACATATTTGCTACTGAAATATAGAGAAATATCACATTGATAAAATTGTTGTTTTGAAAAGACCACATTTTTCTTACTTTTCCACCAGTGAAAAAATAACACTTTTGTAGACATACACCAATGGAAAGAGAGGACACATATCACCATAAAACTGACAAATCATATAAAGCCCGGTACAAAAAAGACCCACGACAACCAGAAGTAGCAATAGGATTGGGCACACGTTTTACAACTTATATAAAGCCCCTTTCAAACATTAAAACACACACATTATATTAATGAAACAATTATATCATGAACAAGTTGAGAGAAAGAGAGGGGGGGGGTGGGGGAGAGGGTGAGAGAGAGGGAGGTGGCAGTTGCGTAGAATGTAGATCCTACGTCTACTCCCTCTCCATGCAAGCGAAATAGGTGATACACTGTCCATGCATACTCCCTCCTTGTCACTCCGACGATTGCTGGTATATCAGTTAATATATCAGTATATCAATTAAAAATGTGCTTGCTATAATCTGTTCGTTTCGTGGATATATTACTAAGTATGCAAAATATTTTTTGGTTTTCTTGTTCAGACAGAAAAGTGTCACCGAATAGGAGTAGATTTAAGTTTATGGGGTTGTATACTATCGCTAATACGACCTTCATTTCCATGAAGTCAGCAGGCATTGCAATTCAAATGACCTTATCAGGGATCAACCCTAATCCCCAACCTAACGTCTTGAATGTGGATAAAGACATTTCAGAAGGGTTCGTGTCATCGACAGTGATGGCTAGGTTGCCATCGTATTTTCAGCCGCGTAGTAACTTGTCATAGGTAAACTCCCTCTGAACAATTTACAGCAAATTTTGGCTTGTAGTGATACGTGTAAGTAGCATGCTTTTATGTTAACATAAAAATGAATTTACATTAAAACTTATTCCTTTGTGTTGATATAATTTTAATTAATGTTTTAATAACGGACTATATTTTGTCGCGTACTGCGAAGTTAAAATTAGTGAAAAGGATAGTCAGTTTCGTCCTTCTATATCTGTACTTAATATGCCAGTAATTTGGTTGTTTTGCCAGTGAAATTGTAATAAATAGATATATATGATATAAAAAGAATATTCAATAGTGTTTCAAGTAATAACGAATATATTTTATTCATGTGTCTGATATTTTTGTGCCTTTCACTTGTGCGCATTATGAAAATATTAAACACACTTGTGAAATATATGTATATTTATTACTGGAGACACTTTTAAGAATCATCTATATATTTTCACATCTCGTTTTTGTTCATTAGGATAGATACCTATAGAAAACTCAGTCTTTTTTATAATATTCGCCAAGCTATCTTACGTCTCTTCTTCCCGCAAAGCCAGCGTAAAATGAGGCTTCTGAATCTACACCCATGTACATATATCTTAAAAAAGGCACCGATTCCTAAACACTTATTTTTAAAAAAAATATAGTGTCGGAATCCTGGATAAATTTAGAAACTAACCTGTACGAGAAAAATATTCACAAAGTTTGTGAAATATTTGTTATCTAACTTTGAATTCGGTGATATAGCGAATTTCTAGTGGAAATCCTTCTTTATTCATAGTAAATAAACTTCTGAACTTTAACTCAAAAAAGGCACCGATTCCTCACAACTTATTTTTAATTTTCAAAGATCATATTAAAGCTTATAAAATTATCATACAAATGTATACGGGAAAAATACTGTCATTTGAACGAAAAAATGCTTTATTCAAGTTTAAAGATTTTCTCTCTATATAATCGACTCAGGCTGGCGCATGCGCAGCACGCTACAGGAAAGATTGCTGGTAATGGTGTCTAATATGTCTGCACATAGTTGAAGAAATAGAGAAGAATATGCTATTTCTCACTATCGCCTTAGTCTTACTATGTGTTCTTTCATACCCAATACTTGTACTTGTGGAACCGGTTGCTTATTGCCAAAAGAGAGACAGGAGATTAGCACAAGTTATTGCAACTTATCAACGCCTTCTCTCAATATGCGTTTTAAATGACATTTCAATACTGACAATACAAATATACAATTGTTGTTACAATTTAACATCAAAATAAGGATCAACACGAAGGACATCGGTACATTGAAACACTTTCAGGGTTTGTGTCGTGTGGTGACTGTATATTTAACACAAGTAAGAAAAATACTTTTACATGTATAAGTATCAATAAATCATCTATAATTCGTGCATCAAATTAGATCACTGTTAAGATTTGCCCATAATTTAAATAAAATTTTGATATAACTTTACATAAAGGCCAATGCCTGGACAGAATGCAAAACCCACAAAAAGCATGGGTTTACACCTTATCCTGGTGGCGCGTGTCGACAAATACCATTGCATAAATATACATAATGCGTTTTAGTTGTAAAAAAAGGAACAAAAAAAGAGACTCGGAAGTAGGACAAGCCATTATTAAAACAAGAGTACTGGGATGAGCAAGCTACCTTCGTGTAAGTCTGATAACCTTGCCACCTAAGTTAGGGGACCCTCAGTTCAGAGACCAAGTGTCATCACATTGAAAACAAAACTAACAAAAGTACATATAGTATGATGAGTGGACACAGTCATCCACTTGAGTCCCGACATATATACATGAATGAAAACACTTGATTGTACGATCACATTCAAATGTGACATAAAATACACTTAACACTGATTTCATCAGCACATAGTATGTAACCTTTTATATAATGCATACATGGTACATACTCGTACCAACCAACTCTTAACTCCACACTCGCATTCATCGTCAGATGCGTTCCCACTCACCACCATACACACACAATGCCGTCTATATATGGTTCAAACATAATTGATTGAAAACCCGGAATAATGGGACTGAGCACAAGTTCTGACAACTTACTAGGCCCTCTCCTGATAACACAAGACATAACTAAACAACATACATACAAACTACTAAATAACATGAAAAAATAAGGAGAGAAAGAAAGAGTGTGGATGGAAGTGAAAAGAGGAGACAGGGTGATGTTGGTGGGTGGAAGTTCTGATTGTCTAACTAGTTAGTATTGACCCTTCCACTTGATGTTAAAATCATTGTTCACCTGATTGTACTATGTTACTGCTTGTTTCAAAGGGAAAATCAGCGTCTCACTATATGAGAATATCCTGTTGGGGGACTGGATAGATACCAATGTTTGACAGAGCATCAAACAGTCTTATTCGAGGATTAGAAACTTTATCAGACAAAAAATAACGGTACGCATCTTCATTATCATCACCACACCGACATTCGGGTGAAACACAAATACCTACACGGAATAAGTCACTTTTAAGACCACCTCATTTTTGTCTAATCCGTGCTTAAAGATGTATCTGTTACCAACGTTAAGATCATTCGGTAGAACACGTGGTACTGCTGGTATTTTGGCATTGAATGTAGAAATTGATGTACTTTTCATAGAATCATCAAGACTATTCAATAAATTTGTTGAAGAAGGGATAAATGATTTTAAGAATATTTAATCTTCAGGTCGGTAACTAATACTGATTGGGAATACGAAAGTAATTCCTTTTAAAAGGAAACAAATTATAAAGATACTTTGGTACTAATCGAGTATGCATCTTGTGAAAAGAATTTTAAAGGAACCCAACCAATTTCAAAGTAAAGTGCCTCACAGGAGGCAACAGAGGATAGTCCAGGCATATTCGAGAGTTGGTCCTTACTAACTTTATATTTCAATCGTTTTAACACAGAGACTTTAGAAGAAGCTGTTTTAATAATTTGTTGAACATGGTCATGCCACTTGCAGTCACCACTAAAAAACACTCCAAGGTGACAATGAGAGTTCGTAAACGGAAGCGGTTCATTGTTACAAATAAGGATGGGTTTTATATCAACTGGAGTAGACGAGAAAAGAATTACTTCCATCTTAGCGGGATTGAAATGTAGCAGTCTCTGATCAGATCAGTCCTGTTAACGTTGGTTTCGGTTTTTGTAGTATATTCAAATCTGCAGAAGAATCTTGGCGAGAAGAATCATTGGCAAAGAGCATGGTAAATGTTTTCATAGGATCACTTTATCATTAATGTAAAATAAAAACAATAAAGGACCAAGAACAGATCCTTGTGGTACACCCCCGGATATAAATTTTAAAGTAGAAGTATTGTTTCCATGTATGTTTACCCGATAACAACGTTAGCTGAATTTTGCCTGATGACGGACGCCAAAATAATAGCTGCGCGCGGAAACATAGTTCCAAACTTTATCGGATAAAACAGCGATTTTCGTAAATCAGCTTGTTCATTACAACATGGAAAATCGCTGAGATTCAGAGAGTATTTCTGTCGAATCACCGCACGTGCTGTTTTCTGGCACTGTCGAGTACAGCAAAATATATGTGGCAGGTATATTCCGACAACGGCGGTGCCAGTTGCAGGATAAATGCTGTTAACTGACAGTAATATACATATATTCACGAATGTAAACATTTGTTGACATTTTAGACTGTTATGACGAGGGGAATGGGATGCCATACATTTGAATGAAGTTATTTGCGTTATTTTCTTGATTTGTGAAAAATGGAAATTAGATAATGAAATAACATTATAAGTCACGAAAAGAAAAGAAAACAAAAGGCAAAGTTTTCACGAAAGAACTTATGAAAAAGTAACTAAATGGCACACCGTTTAGGTTCGTAAAAGCTTAGTTGCCGGCTAAGTTACGGTCGTAACGACGTTTAGAGTTACGTCCCTTGTCAGTGAGGTAAACTTCCGCTACAACAAACACGTGTGGAAGAGAGCAGAATTTGATGGTGATTTCGGTGTTAAGGAACTTTTAAAACAGGTATTTTACCTTTATGTCGTGATGTCCAATGATCGTATTTCGGTTTAGATGATAAGACTAACTCATCTTTGTTAGAGTTGTTGATATCGCAAATTGCAAGGTGGCAGAGCTCAAAGTCAAAACTAGGGTCAGTAGGGACGTATAATATTGAAGGATAAGAAACTAGGCCCAGTAGTGACTTCTCTGTTCGTCGCTGTTGTGTTTTTTTCATTAAGCTGTGAAGTCTGTTATTCATACTGTTCTCGGTCTGTGTCCAATCCAAATCTTTGTTACTACCCCGTACTCTTGCAACATAATTCCCTACATGAATTTGATTAAACATACTTACAAATAACCTCACACATTGGTAATGAACCTGTGTTGTCAGATTGTCAAAGTTATTTATTGCATTGTTGAATTAAAATCAGATACAAATTAATTATATTTTTTTCCTAATTGACACCAAACAGCACCACCTGTAAACATCATTACAGTGTACTATCTTGTAAGGGCAACCGGGGGACATCAGCTATACACAGTATGGCTATTTTCTTAGGGAAAAGCTATATGTGAAAGATGAGACAAACCTCTGCCTTAGAATATTCTGTTCTATTCCAGGTCCATGGACAAATACAAGTGTGACAGAGCAACATGTCTGTCAATCATTTCCCAGGCATATAATCAACAAAAAAATCCACTTTATGTAAATATCATGAAGAATGAAGTACACATTTTTGTTGCAAGTCACATTAAAAGAAAATATGCAAGTATTCAGGAATGAAATGCACAACATATAGATTTGGACTGCAGTTAAAATTACTTTCTTGTATTATAGAACCTTGGAATTGCTTGGAGGTGCATTACATGTGGACAAACAAAAGCAGAAACATATGTGAAGTTGTAGCTTGAAGCTGCTTCAAACTGAAGAAGAACTGTAAAAAGGAATCTGAAAATTCCAAAAGCAAAATGAAAGACAAACAGAACACAGAATCCAAAGAATCAATGAAGGAAAAGAAGTCAAAGTTAGAAAATAAACTTTCTGGGAATCTTTTGAAAACTGTTGGAATTAAGAAACCGAAACAGAAAACAAAAGGATTAAATGGTGTGTCTAATGAGTCTGAGGACTGTAGTCATTTTGTCAAACCAAAGAAAAAACTGAAATCAAAGATTTCAGATAAGTCTTTAAAACCAGACAAAGTCAAGAAAAAGAAAAGAAAAATGTCTCCAGAAATTACTGAAAGTAGCAACTACCTCAATACAGATGTGAGAGAACAACCCCCAAAGAAGAAAAGAAAAAAAAGTTCAGAAGAGTTGTTTGATCATTCAGAAACTCTGTGTGGACATGTTTCAGAAGAGAAATCACACAAACTTTCAGATGTCAGTGAGAAGTATATTGACAGCTCACAGGAAAAAAAACGAAAAAAGAAAAACAGTGGCTTAGTTTCAGAGGAAAGATCACCTAAAAATTTATCTGTCCCTGCTAATGAAAGCCTTCTGTTGAATGTCAATGATAAGGCGAGAATTGATACACATTTAAAGAAAGGGAAGAAAAAGAAGAAGGAGCATGTATTGGAGGAAATATCACACCAACATTTATCTGCAGTTTCACGCGAAAGCCTTCCTTCAGATGTTAGTGAGGATGATAATGATAGCTCACAGGAACGGAAAAGAAAGAGAAGAAAGGATAAACAGCACATTCCAGGTATGTGACAGATCATTATTGCTATAGTATTGTTAAAACACTTGTAGCTTCGCTAGTGTTAGGACTCCTAAAACTGGAATTAGTCAAAAAAGATAATGCATGTACTTTGATCTTGACTTCAGCATAACATGCATGAAATTTTTTCATTAAATATTAATATAGTTAATGGTTTGATTTAGAAAATATGCAGTGGTGTAACCAGGTATATTCCTGTGATCAACATAATGTTTCTGTTTTAATGTTTTTTAATGGTAATTATAATCAAATGGAAGTTGGATAAGATCATTTAACTATAATGAAGGTTCCTCTATTAATAAAATCTGTTAGTTATTAACACAGTAAATATCATAGTTCTTCTTCAGTTGATTCCAAAATAATTAACTGTAATGAGACAAAACAAGTCTTAAGGACCCAACATTGGTTAATAGACTTAAACCTTGAACCTCCTACTGGTTATTGTATGTGATTGTCCTGAATGACCTAACACTATCAACTGGTGAACTTCTTGTGCTAGGACCGAAGAAATAGTAATAAACCGCAAAACTGGGAAATGGGACACCAGGCATCTTAATGATTGAAGTAAATTAAATGTACAAATGTACTTGTGACTTAAGAAGTATTGATACTCTCATAGCCTGTGATCAATTAATAAAATGACATACACATGTAGTTAAGAAATAAGAGTAAGAATTGTTTTGGAATATGTAATTGAGTTGTATCACTTAGCTATCGTCCATGGGATAATGTGTCCAACGAGAACGGTGTCATGACTACCAGCATGGCAAGTGACATATTTCCCACATTTCCTTTCTCCTAGATTTAAATATAAATCTGTGGTTGTATTCTATTTGATTAAAATTGAATTTCAAACCTTTCTTTTTTTTTTTTTTTTTTAATTATTGAATGATTCAATAAAATAACAAAAATCAAAATGTTATAAAAAATGTCAAAAGTATATATTGATTCTGTACATTACTGGTAGTTGGTTAGAAATTTGTAATTTGGTAAAATTAAAGAGATATAGTACATCATGGCCCTTGAACATCTACATTTTTCCTAAGTCAGTTAACCATATCCAAAGATTATCTTTTATATCCATAATATTCTGCATGTACCTGTTGATTTCAAGCATATATATTGAACTATACGTATAATAGTAATTAATTAGATATATTAAAGATCTGTCATAAACAAATATGATAACATTATGCTAAAAATCACAGTGTAAATCCGCTTTAGTAAAAAGAGAAACATCTGGCATGGTAATTACAAAAGAAAAATGAAAATGTTTTACCTGTACCAGGCATTTTCAGGAAAGTTAAGTGGATTAAGTGACCATAAATGCACCAGTTTAAATAGCAAAAACAAATTGTCAAAATATGTGAAATTGCGCCAAAAAGAATCAAATACATGTATTGCAGTTTTAATTCTTAGGGAACATGCCTTCCGACCCTCTAACAGGTTCAGGGGTCACAATCCGACCTTCGGTCTATGGCGGTTTTAAAAGTAAAGATAAATATACAATAACGCATGCACAGCCACAAAGGCCTGGTTACACAACTGAAAATAGGGATGGTGTATGTGTAGGGGAGGAGGGGGGAATAACACTCTTTAGAATATATTATAGAATATATGTATCAAATGTTGGTTTCAATACATGGCATTGACTCCATGATTTTATATGATGAGTATTTTGATGGAAAACTCTGGCTATAACCATGGCTATAATCAAAGGAGGAACCATTATATTGTCATATTTATTTTGGTCGAGGGGGAGATAATCAAAATTTACAAAGAACGTAAATGAGGTTTTTTTTGCTCAATTGGCAGAAGGCGAGCTAGATAGCAGTAAAGATTCAGGCACTGTACTGATAAAGAAAAAAAAGGATAAAAAGAAAAAGAGGAAAAAGGATGAAGATGATAATACAGAAGAATCTGAAGATGCAAGCATGTCAGCCCAGGCTGCTGCAGTTAATTATCTGAAAACTTGGTCAGATGACAAAGACAACTGGAAGTTTCAAAAAGTTCGACAAGTGTGGTTACTGCAGCATATGTATGATGATTCTAAGGTTTGTATTGATTTATTTAAGTCTTCTAATGAAAAAAACAGAAGTCGGAGGACCTTGAATGTCACCTGAAGAGAGTGTTTTTGTTTTGCCAAAAATACATTTGAGAGCGACTAAATTTTAGTTGGATGCTAATCAAATCCCTCTCCATCTGTGGTCGAGTGTCTGGTGTCCATCTAGCTTCTGTCTGTCCTTAATTAATTTTCTTGTTATTACTATTTCTTGAGAAGTACTTGATGGATTATTTTCAAATTTTGTATGTCTGTTCCCCTTGGTCCCTTGCTATACATTGTCTTATTTTGATATTGATCAGAAAAACAGACAGCCATCATGGTTTTTGTAAGTCATAACTTATTGTTATTGCTGGAGAAGCATTGGACGGAGCTTTCTAAATTTCATGTATAAGCTCCCTTTGGTTCATTGTTGTGTCATTTTGATTTTAGAACTGATTAGAAAAATAAAATAGCTGACAGGTGGCCATCTTGGATTTTCACAGTGATTGTTTGTTATCACTGTTTCTTGAGAAGGAATGGATGTATTTTTCTCAAATTTTGTATATCGGTTTCTCTTGGTCATTGTTTATGCTCTTTTATGTTTGGGACTGATTAGAAGAACATAATGGCTGTATTTTGACTGTGTAAGTTTGTATTCACTATTTCCTGGAAAGTACTGGATAGATTTGAGCATGACATTTCATTGACTTCATGGTCACCGTCATCAGACAAATTACCATTCTGATCCTACTAGTGCTAACATACTTGATATACGAGATGGTTAGGAATCAACTATAAGCCTGTGTATACTAAGGTTGAAAATAATGTGACAAAATGGTAAGCAGATTACAGTAAAAAGTACACAAGATGATAACAATGTACTGCAGTTGATTTGGCTACGCTTTGTTTAACACTTTGTCATAGATGTGTGGAGTCTGTGACTCCCTTGTTTAGTACTGACATATCCAGGTGGCTTTTTCTCTCAACTATTTTGGAATTTTATCAATGATATGACTTAGCTACATTTGCTGATTTATTGATTTGGGACTGAGAATGCTTATGCTCTGATCTGGTGATTTTTTTGCCTTTTCGTTCCTGATTCTATGTCTTTCTGATGTTCATTCACTTGGACCCCAGATCTTCTGCTCGTTCCTCGATATAGGAAATGTGAAAGTTCTAACAACTAATTTGGTATACTCTTTTTGTGATGTCCTCTCTGGATGTTATATCCATGACATTTCAGAGAGTCTTTCTTGGATGTTGCAATGCCATGACCATGGTAAATCCTCTTACTAGCAGACCTTTGATGTAAAGGATGACTGCCTGTCCTTTCACAGAATGCAAAAAAATTATTTAAGTGTAATTGTCCAATATAAACTAAAATAAACTCTACCCCCTCACTACAGTGAAATGTGAGACTCTGGAATCATGAAATTTCAGTTATTCACTTTAAAGCCCTTCCATTCACTAAGATTATTTGATTCTACCATATCTGGATCCTAAATTTAGGTCAATTTGACCCTTTTTGGCCCTGCCCATGAGCTCCTGAACATCAGTCAGGGTCACTATATGCATACCATCAAACTGCCACTCCATAATCTTAATTCCAATCAAGTTTGAATTGTTTCCATTAGGAATTAAACATGTTGATGTTTTAATCTCTTGCTTCATTCTCCATTGCTGTAACATACTAAATTTGTCAGCAAAATTTCTTAATCAGACAGAAATTGTTTTTCATGGATGTATGCTCATAAAACACGAATCACACTGCTCATTAGAGATGCTAGGTGAGATATTATTATTTTACAGCAGATGGCATTGTTCCAGTGATCATAACACAGTTTACCAGATAGTCTGATCATGGAAGAGCCTAGGTTTGTCATTTGTGTGTCCAAGCGAGAACATACCTTGATTGACAATGATGTAGGTGGGAGTTAATTAGCAAACAAGTTGTGGGAAACATACAAAAAGTGTATGGATAGATTAAGTGCTAGAAAGAGCACACAGAATAGAGACACTGATGTAAGTTCAATGGGCGTGTGGCATAGGAAAATGTGTTGTAGAGTTTATTGAGTTCAATTATGTAATATACTGAATGACCTGTTGCAGATACCCAGTGCAGACTTTGAGAGATTACTGCTCTACTTGGAAAATTTGAAGGGGAAAGCAAAAGAAGAAACACTTGCTAAAGCCTCAAAAATTATTGAAGCTGAAGACAGTAGTTGTGATGAAAGTAAGTAAGATAGACTTAAACACGATTAGAACTGTTTGTGACTTTGAAGTAGTTTGGAGATCTTGTTGGTAACATTTCTATTGTTTGTTATCATTTCCATATCATCTGATATCCATTCACTGGATTGGACTTCAGTCTTGTTACAAACAGACAAAGACCATGTAGAGTCATTACATACTGTCTTTATACACAAATAAACCCCAGTCTTCATTTTTGTAGAATTATCAATCTTAAAATGTAAGCTAAAAGTAGTTCACAAATAAGCCCTCCCCAATCTTTAATGCTGAACTGTTACGTTAAGGGGGGCGTACAGTATAGTTATCTGTCGACTTGCTAACTCTATAGACTTGTTAATTATGTTAAGTGTTTCTAATGTCTCCACACATTTATGTTGTAAATGACTAATAAAAGATCACAATATGTTATTCATCGTTAGACTTGGTATCTAGAATTGTACTTTGGTACAGTTGGTTTAGGTATATAGGTATATCATAGCTCTATATAAGGATATAGAGATTTTCTTGAGTTATTCAGATAAAAACAATGAAACACTTGAGTTATCAGAAATCATGTCAAGCCTTTAGCATAAAACATCTCTCAGATGTGTATACTGTCAAGCAACAATTTAGCATATTGATACATTTTTGTGTCAACATTAATTAGCCATTATTGTAAGTGTCTTTCATTTACTGTAGCTATGTTCTTATCTTGCAGGTGACGATGGACAAGAAAAAACGACAAGAGCTCGACAGGTTATACAAATGCTCAATTGATCAGTGAGAGCACTTCAACAAACCACCCTTATAATATATAATGTGATGGGTTATATTTAGTACAAAGATACATTATACCAAGGCCAGATACTTTGTTACTAGATAGTGATATCTGTAAAATGTTGATACTGGGGAAAAGACAATGTTAGGTCATAATGTGGGTGGATGGGGTGGGGGAAGTGGGGAGACGTGAATGTATTTTAACCAAATTTAAATCATACTCTCTGCCTTAAGTGTCTGAGTGAATTTCAGCAACATATGGTCTGAGATATCACAAAGGGGAAGTAATCAGGCTCTCAGAGATCATGTAGAGTAGGAAATTTGTTAAGTTATTTCTGATTCATCAAAGCTTGTTGAACTGAAACTGTGACCTACTTACATCAGTTTATGACAATTCTTAAAAACCAATAATTATTTAGCAGAAACACAAAGCGCAACTGTTTTAAACATGGAATGTGTAAGAAACATCAAAATCTAAATTTCACACCCCAAGATTTTGATCCGTAAATTATGTAAGAGCCCACAACAAATATAATGTTTTGAATATCTTACTATCTGAAGCTGACCACTCAAAGTATCTTCTTAAAAAAATAAGCTTATTGCTGAATAGCATCAGAATCACCCAAATTGGCACCCCAGGGGTTCTGTCAGGGGTTGTAGAAATGCTCAGGGACTTAACCAAACACTTAATAAATAGGCAATATCTTTTGTCTGTGTGATAGTTAGTCCTTCCTATTGTATAGTTTTATTTTGAAATGAATATTGAATAAAAATGAAAGCTTGATACATCAAAAAGGATTAAGTATCCTGAATGTTTAGAAGATAATTTTCTACATGTTGCCTCATAAAAAGGAATAATTTCAGAAATGAATGGACTTTGTTTTACATTGTTTTACATTTCCAAACAACTCCATAGACCAGACTCCCTGTTGATTGGTAAGCTTAGTGATAAAATCAGATGTTAAATATATATATATATAGTTTGTTATCAGATAATCTGTAAGTAATATGCTTCAACTTCAGTACTTGCCAATCAATTCTTACGTCCAATATTGTGTACACAATGTCACGTCCATGTAGATGATTTTGGAAATTGTTTTAACACCAGTAACTTTGTAGATTATTTATAGACAAATTGGTATTTTAAGCTCTCATTATCTATAACAGGTACACATGAAGAATAAACAAAGCAATTAAAAACAAAAGCATTTTTTTGTGTGTGTTATTACATTGCAGATCAACCTGATCAAAAGGCATTGATTGTCCTTCCTTTACCATCACAATTTCTCAAATGACATGAACTTCTTGGTCCCTAGTGGTTGGTTTTTTTTAGCCAAGAATTTTTGTTATCGCTTTTTCTTCAGAAGTACTGGATGGATCTTTCTCAAATTCATATGTAAGTTCCCCTTGGTCCCTAGTTGTACCGTTTGATTTCAGGACTGATCAGAAAAACAAAATGGCCGACACTTAGATTTTCATTTTGAAAGTTTGTTTTTGCTTTTTCTTGAGAGATGCTGCATAAATCTTTCTGAAATTTTATGTATAGGTTCCTCTTGATCCCTAGTTGTGCCTGTCTGATTTTGGGACTGATAAAAAAATGGCCTACAGGCAGCCATCTTGGACTTCGCCTATTAAAAATTGTTATCACTTTTCTTTAAGCACTTCTGAATGGATCTCTTTGGTCTCTACTTGTGCCTATTTGATTTTGGGACTGATAAAAAAACACCAAATGGCTTTCAAGCAACCATCTTAGATTTGGCAGGTAAAGATAAAGATCATCATTGCTATTTTTGCAAAGGAATGTTCAATTTTTTTATCATTAAGAGCAAAAACAGAGAAGAGAAAAGAAAAAATCCAACTTTCAAAGAGCAAATAAAGATCAAACAATGGTGGGCACCAAGATCCTTCTGGGATCTCATTTATCAGAAGGTTGATCTTAGAATCTTTTTGCAGTGAAGTTTCTATCAGCCATTTCCCAGAAACAATGAAGTTCTCTTTTTTTTCATATTACATACTTCTGGGCCAATATACCACAAAATATTCATGCGTAATTTTTAGATTATAAGAAACTCCAATAGCAATAATCAATCTTGCATATTAAGCAAAGTATTTAGCTGCATTTTCTCAGAATAATGGATCATAGTCTATTCTCATTAGTAGACTACTTAAATCTCCATTCCCATTTGATACAGATTGAAATTCTGACAAATGACATTTTCATAATTCCAGGGATTATGGTAGCCCCTAGAATTTCGAGGAAGGACAACCATGTGTAGCTTTCTAGCTTTTTAACATTTGTTCTTTTAAAGAACTGGAGGGATGTCTTTTGTTTGGTAAATGTAATTTTGTGACTGACCAGAGTAATGTAGACAATGTTCTGACATCAGTGTACAAAACTGCATTTACAGATATGTTAGCTGTCAATTAAGTGTTTAAAAACAGAAAAACAAAGAGGAAAATTGAAGGAAATTGGAAATAGTTTATACACTAAACAGCATAAATTTTCCTTCAGAATCATTTTTTTTAATAAGCATATTATGACAATCAGTTGATTTTCAAACTAATCTCAAAGCATCATCCTACAACTTCTTCAATGAAGATGGCAGTGATGTAAACCCAGGCTTGACTTGTAAACAGACCTGAAAAAAACACAGGTAAAATTAACCCAGACTTGATCCACACACAAATCTGAAAGGTACTACTAGCTAGATGAAATAAACCATGGTTTGACATACAAACACTACTAGCTAGGTGAAATAAACCATGGTTTGACATACAAACACTACTAGCTAGGTGAAATAAACCATGGTTTGACATACAAACACTACTAGCTAGGTGAAATAAACCATGGTTTGACATACAAACACTACTAGCTAGGTGAAATAAACCATGGTTTGACATACAAACACTACTAGCTAGGTGAAATAAACCATGGTTTGACATACAAACAGACCTGAAAGATACAGGGGTGATTTAAATTTCAGGTAGATTCACTAAATTATGAGGATGATTTACCCTAAGCCTGGACCATGAACAAAATGGGCTATATTCAATAATGGATCTGAAAGTTACTACAATAATGAAAGTTACCCTGATGAAATGATACCAGGCTTGATCTGCTAACTTTATCAGAAAAAATTAAGAGGTTATTCCGCAGACTTCAAACCAACTCAAATGGCAGTCTACAAACGTAACCTGGGCCTAGCATTATCCACAAACACACCTGGAAGGTAAGATGAGGATGCAAACTACAGTCATTCCACAAATAGGGATGCTGGTTGGAAGATTATCTGGATTCAAAACTCAAGGTGCACGCATACATAAACATCTTATATAAAAACACACCATAACGAAGAGCTGATGGTAAGGAGGCGATATAAAGACATGATCAATAGATATATGATTTGGCTTGTTCTAGATCCAGATAACTGAATTTCAACATACCATCACTGACTTGAACTTGAACAGTGTAATTTGAATGGTGTAGGGTCCGTATAGCCGACAGAGTACCCGTTCTGTTATCGATGGTGAAAGGCGAGAGCTGTGGATCAGATTTGGTTGCTATGCTGTAAGTTAGTTTGCTTCCACTATCAGCATCAATTGCCTGTACTGTCAGAAATGGAGATAATCCTAGAGATTCAGCATTGACAGTAACATGGTACATGTTTTGTGAAAAAACTGGCGAATTGTCATTTACGTCTAATACATCAATTGTGACATTTGCCAATAAACTATCTACAGCATGAGTAGACATCAGAACCTGAAAGAAATAGACAGAAATGACTTCCCTGTCTAGTAACGTTCCAGTATAAAGTGACCCGTTGTTGTTGGTTAAGTCCAGAGTAAAAGGTACATGCGGCCGTATCTGTATTTCTGGTAATGTAGCAGCTGTCCCAGATGGTAACTTAAAGACCTGATGAAAGATATTAAATGGTAAGAATTAAAATCTGTTCAGCTAGCATTATCTTGTCATTCCAGAGTAACAGCTGCATGTTAAATCTTCCGTTTACCCATAGTTAAATTGATAAATATTACAGCCCTATCTTGAACACCATACTTACAATTTGTTGGACGTCGTGACACTATGTTGACCCCCCAGTCTTACCACCCAATCTTGAACACCATACTTACAATTTGTTGGACGTCGTGACACTATGTTGACCCCCCAGTCTTACCACCCAATCTTGAACACCATACTTACAATTTGTTGGACGTCGTGACACTATGTTGACCCCCCAGTCTTACCACCCAATCTTGAACACCATACTTACACAATGTTGGAGGTTGTGACACTATGTTGACTTACTGTCCCTATATTGAAGATTGTATTAAATGCTGCTACATTGCTATACATTTTACTTACGGACTTATGCTGAACATCATTTTAAATGATATATCGCACATCAATATGACCCTATGCTGAAAATCATACTTGCTTGTGCCTGTGCATATATATCATCAACCCTATCCTGAACTTGATACCAACTGACCCCATGTTGAACTTCATACCAACCGACCCCATGTTGAACTTCGTACCAACTGACCCCATGTTGGACTTTGTACCAACTGACCCCATGTTGATCTTGATACCAACTGACCCCCATGTTGATCTTGATACCAACTGACCCCCATGTTGGACTTCGTACCAACTGACCCCATGTTGATCTTGATACCAACTGACCCCATGTTGAACTTCATACCAACCGACCCCATGTTGAACTTCGTACCAACTGACCCCCATGTTGATCTTGATACCAACTGACCCCATGTTGAACTCGATACCAACCGACCCCATGGTGAACTTGATACTAAATGACTCCATGTTGATCTTGATACCAACTGACCCCATGTTGAACTCGATACCAACCGACCCCATGTTGAACTTGATACTAAATGACCCCATGTTGATCTTGATACCAACTGACCCCATGTTGAACTCGATACCAACCGACCCCATGTTGAACTTGATACTAAATGACCCCATGTTGAATTTGATACCAACTGACCCCATGTTGAACTCAATACCAACCGACCCCATGTTGAACTTGATACTAAATGACCCCATGTTGATCTTGATACCAGCTGACCCCATGTTGAACTCGATACCAACCGACCCCATGGTGAACTTGATACCAACTGACCCCCATGTTGGACTTCGTACC